CTTGAGCCCAGGAGTTGGAGGTTGCTGTGAGCGTGATGCCATGGCACTCTACCCAGGGGGATAGCTTGAGGCTCTGTCTCAAAAAAAAAAAAAAATCCTAAAATCCAAGAAAATAGAAATGTGAGAAGCTCACAAAACTAGACTAGCCCAAGTACTGTGGTATCTATCAAAGACAAGGCACATTAGGAACCAGCCCAAATAGTTTTCAGGTTTCTCTCTCTTGTCTCCTTTGGTATACAGCACATCTGACTCATTCTTGACCCCTAGAACCATTCACTCTACCTTGTCCTTGTCCATGACAACACTGGCCACAGGTCCAAATGCCTGGAAATACTCAGAGAGCTGAGCAGAATCTACATCCCTAGGAAAGCCACTAACAAACACACTTCGAAGTCCCTGGGCCTTTCTTGCAGCTCGTAGTTCTACCAGGTGCCGGTGCTTTCGTCCTCCTAAATGGGCATCCAGACTGGGTCCTGCAAAAAAACAAGTGTGAGACAAAAACATCCAAATCACTCTTTAGTGTGCCTGCCTTTGCTCTTTGCATGCCTAAATCCTACTGATCATTCCAAGTCACAGAAGGGTGACTTTTGCAGCCATCGTTGTTGTTTGGCGGGCCCGGGCTGGGATTCGAACCCGCCACCTTAGGTGTATGTGGCTGGCGCCTTAGCCGCTTGAGCCACAGGCGCCGAGCCAAGAAGGGTGACTTTTGAATAAACAAAGTCCTGGTTCCTTTCATCTTCCTTTTTTTTTTTGTTGAGACAGAGTCTTACTCTGTCACCTTCAGTAGAGTGCCATGGCTTCATAGCTCACAACAACTTCAAACTCTTAAGCTCAAGCGATTCTCTTGCCTCAGCCTCCCAAGTAACTGGGACTACAGGCGCCCACCACAACGCCCAGCTATTTTTAGAGGAAGGGTCTCACTCTTGCTTAAGCTGGTCTAGAACCTGTGAGCTCAGGCAATCCACATGCCTTGGCCTCCCAGAGTGCTAGGATAACAGGCGTGATCCACCTCACTGGGCCCATCTTCCTCTCTTGTCCATCTGTCTAGATCATCCATTCTGTAAGTGGTTCCCAGAAGAATTGGCTATACTACAAGTATTTCTTACACCATATGTATGTGCTAAGTAGAGCAGTATGAGAAGTGCAAATAAATTAACAGGTAATTTTTCCAGGTCATTTACAGAAGAACTAAATGAATCAGAACTCTGGACTATTCCTCATAAATCATCTCTGGCTATGGTAGAGTGATTTCAGGACCTGAAATCGTACTACCCAAGTTCAAATTCCAGCTCCGTCAAGCTGTGTGAGATTTTGGCCAAGTTACTTAACTTCTCTGTCTATGCAACAATTTCCTCAGATATAAAATGGTGAGAATAATAGTACCTACCACATGCCCATTATTCACATACAGTACTTAATAGAGACTCTGGTACATGGAAAATGTGGAAAAACTAGACGTTGTTATTATTTTTATTACAAGTCAGCTATTTTATGTCACCAAGTAAATGTGGGACCAAGAAAGATGCCTGGGTTTCTAGCTTGCCCTACTGGGAAATAATGGTAGTGCCATTCACAGAGAAAAACAAGAATGGAAGACCATTTAGGGAAGATTATGATTCCAGACTTCAGAAGTGGAATTTCAGGATTCATTGAGCTCCTTTCCTCATCACACAAGGACCTTGTCTACTTTTCCAAACCCACCTTCTGCCTGTTTCTCACTGGCACCTTATGCTCCGTTCCTGCCCCTTATTTCACCCATCCCTGCGTTTGGGTAGGTCCTCTGTAGGGCTTCCCTAACTTAATAATTATACCGCCTTCTCCGTAGTCCCACAGCTCTCCAAACCTATCTGTAAAACACTGAAACACTGTCTCAACATTTAGATAGCGAGCTCCTTCATCTCCGAACCCCCTCCCCCACCCTAAAGACCAGCAAAATACTGGGCACAGAGAAGATGTCCAAAAGACGATGGCTGAAGAGGAAACAGAATAATGAAATTTTCGTAGTGAAGATTTCCTGTACTGGGAAGGATGGGTGTAATAAGTTGGGGCTTTCCCCACTCTCCAATTCCTCGGACGTGCGGAGTGAAAACGGAGGTATGTGACCTTACCAATCCACTTGACAGGATCTATAGCCCTAACGTTCGCTAGGGCCATTAAACGAAAGCCCGAACCACCCCCCTCACTAGCCACCGCTTACGGTTGGCTGTCGTAACGTGACAGAGGCAGCAGCGGAAACCCCCACGCGGCAGTGATTCGACATCTGAATCCAGCGCCGCCATAGCTACTCTCCAGTACCGAGAAAATACAACCACCGCCTTCACCGCCGGAACTCACTCCTCCAAATTGCAACGTGCCGGGAAGCAACTTCCGCCAGTCCGACAGGAAGTGACGTAAGTCGGCCAATGGCGCTCTCCACTAGAAACTGAGGTTTTTCGACTCCAGGTTCAGTTTCTAACCCACTCGTTTTAGGAAAAGCCGCCCAATCGCTTCTCCGCCTTTTGGCTAAGATCAAGTGTAGGAAAAGCCACCCATCTACGAAGCTTATCCACATTCAGTAAGCCGATTGGTGTGCTCGGAGCTGTTCAGGCGTTGATTGGCCCAAAGAATCATGAATATTCATAAAGCAGCCCCAAAGTAGACAAGGTCCTTGTATGATGGGTGGCAGCTCCCAGCTTCTCCTAGCCAGCTGGTCGCGTTCCTGCTGCGCTTTCCTTCACCCGGCAATGGAGGCCTGGGCGCTGCACCCTGCGCCCTATATTTACTAGAGGGCGGTGGACGGCTTTCGATCCTTTGCTCCACGGAAACCAGGGCTGTCCCTGGACTCTCAACTACTCTAGGATGTTACTCTCTTCCTTTGCCCCCTGCCTCATCTTCTAAACTGGTGCTCGGTGACCGCTTCCTATCCCTGGTTGGAGAGCTCTGCCCCCGCCGGGCACCTTCTAAACTCCTGGAGGCCTCGGCCAGATAGTTGCGGTGCCGGTGAGGCAGACTCATTCCGCGGTAGTGGGACAGCGTGGTGTACTTAGTAGGCATCAGAACCACCTGCCCGCTTCGAGCCAGTGCAAGGGAACCTACTACGATGGCAACTGAATGAAGACATTTGTAGAGATCACGGTGAAACTCTCCCTTTTTCCCTTGGTTGGTTCGCTGAAAGAGCAACTCACAATTAATAAGAGAAAGTTGGGTTTTTTGCCAAATACCATGCGCATGGGGAGAACCAAAAGAATGATTCCCCCATGTCTCAATGATTGTCAGATACCTTTCTGATTGTGAACGGCCTTTAATTCAAAATATTCTTTTTTTCTTTTTTTGAGACAGCCTCAAGATGCCGCCCTGGGTAGAATGCCGTGGCATCACAGCTCACAGCAACCTCCAACTCTTGGGCTTAAGCGATTCTCTTGCTTCAGCCTCCCAAGTAGCTGGGACTACAGGCACCCACCACAACACCCAGCTGTTTTTTTCTTGCAGTTGTCATTGTTTTAGCTGGCCCAGGCAGGGTTCCTACCCACCAGCCTCAGTGTTATGTGGCTGGCACCCTACCAACTGAGCTACAGGCACTGCCCAAAATATTATGTTAAGTAGTCATATTTGGGGGTAAAATTTCCTTAACTCCTTCACATTGGACAGAGAAAGTGCTGCCGCCCCCATACTGATACAGTGTTCAGTTCCTTCCCATACCACCAAGGTGTAAGCTCAGGACAGGGAGTACAAAAGGTGGGAGCCTCTAGGCATAGGGACTGTCAGATGGAGCTTAGCAGCTCATACTGCTACCAACCCATAGCTTCTAGTTATGCAAAAAGCAGTAGACCTGAGTCAGACATACTAAGATCTCTAATCTCAGCAAGTCAGAACGGAAGAAAAAAAAAAAAAAGAACTTAAGACTGTTCCCCATCTGTAAAGGAAGTACCCAAAGGGCTGAGTGTCTTGGTTCACACTTGTAATCAGAACACTCTTGAGACCAAAGCAGAAGGATCACTTGAGCTCAGGAATTTGCTTTTGCCAAGAGCTATGATCCCACTTCAGCCTGGGCAACAGAGTGAGACTCTGTCTCTAAAAAAATTAAAATGAAATTTAAAAAATAAAAGGAAGTACCCAAGGAACACATAGTAGGACTGAACTTTTCCTCTCTCCTAAGGTGTTCTTATTGGGTGCCAACTCAGGAATCTAATCTCTGTCTCCCAAATTTAAACATGACAGAAAGGAAATGGCACTATAGTGGACCCAGGTAGCAAGGCAAGTGCTGAGGCTGGCTGGCCTTGGGGATCCTGAAGCAACAGCATATAAATACACTATAGAGCTAGGTGGTTAAGATCCTACCATGACCGGGCACTGCCTGTGGCTCAGTGAGTAGGGTGCCAACCCCATATACCAAGGGTGGCAGGTTTGAACCCAGCCCCAGCCAAACTGCAACAAAAAATAGCTGGGTATTTGTGGTTGTGGAGGTGCCTATAGTCCCAGCTACTTGGGAGGCTGAGGCAAGAAAATTGCCTAAGCCCAAGAGCTGGAGGTTGCTGTGAGCTATGACTATGACACCATGGCAACAAGTGAGACTCTGCGTCTTACAAAAAAAAAAAAAAAAGAAAGATCCTACTATGATCTTCCCACACACAAACACTGAGGTGAGCTACATCTTACCCTGGCTGCCAGCAACTTTCAGAATCCCCTTATGAAAAGGGAAAGGGGAATAACAGGAAGAAACAACCTAACGCCTCCTTCCTATAGAAGGCGGCCACTAGCCATCTGGGGAGACAACTCATCCTAAGTCCTTGGAATGAATCTAGGCCAAGATGGTGCTTGGGTTTCAGCACCACTGGAAAATAAGGGACAGTTTGGATCTCACAAGACTGCTGCCTTGTCCAGGACGAATCTCATAAAGCTGTTCCCAGGGCAAGCACCATCTGTACCTCCTTTGTTGTTCTTTATTTTCCCTCTCAAAGATACCCTCAACACACACACACACACACACCCCCATGGCAGAGAACAGCTGAGCCAGAAGAAGCTGAAGAAAACAGCTTTTTATTTGTTACTATAAGAACCAATTACAGAATCCAAGGTTAAAAAAACGGACAAAAGATCTTTATTTCTGAGAACTGGCGTACAAAAGGCGGAGGGAAGGAGAGAGTGAGCATGGCCTGGGGCTGATGCCAGCTTAGAGGCCTCAAACTCCAATTAGGAAAGTCCGGACACCGGACAGAAAGAGATACCCCCAATTAGGAAAAAAAAAAAAAAAAGATAGACATGGCAGTGCACGCCCCCCTCCCCCAAACAGGTACTACCACCTGATATCTGTTTACTCTTCCCCCAACCCCTTTCACAAAGGGAGGCAAAATTTTTAAAAAATTAAAAAACCCTCCCCCCCAAACTGTCTGAGACAACTGTGGGTCCTACCCCTCAAAACAGGCTAGGTTTCCACATGGGCCAAGTTCCTGCAGTCTGCCCTCCATCACCAAGCATGGAGAGGCATGGGAAAGGGAACAAGTCTCAAGGTGGTAACACCAGAGGGCGCCCAACCCCTCCAGGGACACACTCAATTGCTCCCTCCCTCCCTCACTTCTCACTCCCTTTGATGCTAAAGGGAAGGAAGGTTTGGGTGCCCTGGGCACCCACCCTCTACCTTTCTGCCTGCCTCCCTTCCCCATAGATGCTCAATCCTCTAGAACAATGGGCTCATTGGTGCTGGCAGGATGCGAAGGTGGAGGTAAAGGGACTGAGGGCCGCACTGCTATCAGCGTTGGCTTCACCTTCAGTGGCAAGTTGGGCCTGCGGGCAGCTCGCCTCATTTCCAGGTGGGTCAGGGCCTTCCGTAGGGCCCTAGCGGAAAGGAACAAGAAAAGAGAAAAGGCTTAGAGCCTAGAAAATGCTAAGACCCACATGTGAAATCCCACATACCACAGTGCAATTCTGCCTTCTAGTCCATTCTTTTCCAGCATCCTCAACCTGCACCTATGGCTTTCCTGGACCTGGATTCTTTTTTTTTTTTAGTCTTGTGTTGCCACGGAGTCATAGCTCACAGCAACCTCAAACTCTTAGGCTCACCCTCTTTTTTTTGAGACAGAGCCTCAAGCTGTCCCCCTGGGTAGAGTGCCATGGCATCACAGCTCACAGCAACCTCCATCTCCTGGGCTTAAGCAATTCTCTTGCCTCAGTCTCCCAAGTAGCTGGGACCACAGGCGCCCGCCACAACGCCCAGCTATCTTTTGGTTGCTGCCATCATTGTTGTTTTGGCGGGCCCAGGCTGGATTCGAACCCGTCACCTTAGGTGTACACGGCTGGCACCTTAGCCACTTGAGCCACAGGTGCCGCATAGGCTCACCCTCTTAAGCAGCTTGGAAATACAGGTGCCCAACAATGCCCAGCTAGTTTTTCTATTTTTAGTAGAGACGTGGTCTCGCTCTTGTTCAAGCTGGTCTCAAACTCCTAAACTCAGGCAATCCACCTACCCCAGTCTCCCAAAGTGCTAGGATAACAGGTGTGAGCCACTTGTGCCCAGCCCCTGGAGCTAGTCTTCCTCAGATACTCCTATTTCCCATATTCAGCAACCTAGACTGGCAACCTCTTGGCCCCTCCCATAGTCGACTCCCTACCTGGTATCTTTTGTGGCCACAAACACCACAGGATTGGGGGCATCAGCTGGGTTTAGTTTTTGACGCTTGGCTGCTGGCTGTGAACTTGAACGAATCCCTGAGGCTAGAGGCCTTCCATTGGCAGAGAAAGGAACTCCTGCCATCTGGAAAAGGGTAAGGCAGCACAATGAAGGAGGGGCCCTCTCAGACTCCTTCCAGAAACAGAAGCCTACCCAAGTCAGCGTGGCTCACCCCAGTCTGTCAACTCACAGTCTCATAGGCCCGTTTCACCATAATGCCCCCCAGTGCCCGGTTCTGGGTCAGCTGGTTTCTGTTGATCGGTGTCTTGGTACCCCGAGGTGTTTTTGGTTTTAGAGGTGCCTGGGCTACTGCCAAGGGAAAAAAAACAAAAAACAAGTAGGGAACTTTGTTTTTTCCTTCCCTATGCAGTTTGTCTTGCTTGTTTCCATCTCTTTTCTTTTTGGCATTCCCAAAAGTAGTGATGGGGGAAGGATCTGGCCAGTAATAACCAGTATTTCAAAAATTGTAAGACTGTGGTCTTATCAAATCAGTATGGTTATACTGGGTAAGGATAAAACACTATTAATCCACAAAAATACAGTTTGTTAGACTAAATCCATGAGGACTCACAGGAAAGAAAATAGCAAGAAAAAAAAATAGGACAGAAAAGACTGGGAGATTGACACCACCCTTGCTGGTTCCCCACCTCAGATCCACAGTCTTAATTCCCCATACCATACCCAGATCTTTCACAATAGTTGCCAGGGGCAGTCGCACCAGAGGGTGAATCTTCAATGGAGTTTTAGCAGCCTTAGGAAGGCGAATGGAGCCTAGAAAACAAGCATGAACGTTTCTGAAGGAGGCCTGGTGCGGTGACTCACACCTGTAATCCTAGCACTCTGGGAGGCTGAGGCAGGTGGATTGCCTGAGCTCACAGGTTCCAGACCAGCCTGAGCCAGAGCAAGACCTCATCTCTAAAAAATAGCCAGGCGTTGTGGAGGGCACCTGTAGTCCCAGCTACTTGGGAAGCTGAGCCCAAGAGTTTGAGGTTGCTGTGAACTATGACACAATGGAACTCTACTGAGGGTGACAAAGTGAGACTATCTCAAAAAAAAAAAAAAAAAAGCTTCAGAAGGGACTTCACTATAAAGGCCTCTTCTGGGGCCAGGATTCACATCTAATCTCTTTAAAGAACCCCTGTGGTAGGCTGGGCGCGGTGGCTCATGCCTGTAATCCTAGCACTTTGGGAGGCCAAGGCAGGTATGACTGCCCTCAGCTCACAGGTTTGAGACCAGCCTGAGCAAGAGGGAGACCCCACCTCTAAAAATAGCCAGGAGTTGAGGCAGGCATCTGTAGTCCCGGCTACTTGGGAGGTTGAGGCAAGAGGATCACTTGAGCCCAAGAGTTGGAGGTTGCTGAGAACTATGATATCACTGCACTCTACAGAGTGACAAAATGAATAAAACAATAAAACAAATTTTAAAAACTAAAAAAATAGTATCTGTTCTTATCAGTTTAGTATCTGATACATCCTTTATCTGAGGACATATACATTAAATGGATTTTTGGAGCAGGGAGGTGGAGTAGGAGCTTGCTCCATCCACTCCACCCATTGACCTGGTATTGCAGTACTTCCAGGAACAGTACACCCCTTTGGGGAAAAGAAAACATTAAAAAATAAATAAGGGCGGTGCCTGTGGCTCAAGGAGTAGAGTGCCGGCCCCATATACTGGAGGTAGCAGGTTCAAACCCGGCCCCTGCAAAAAAGTAAATAAATACAATTTAAAAAATAAACAAATAAATAATAAATAGGGGCAGCGCCTGTGGCTCAAAGGAGTAGGGCACTGGCCCCATATGCTGGAGGTGGTGGGTTCAAACCCAGCCTCGGCCAAAAACTGTGAGGAAAAAAAGGAAAGAAAGAAAGAGAAAGAATGAACCCTTGTGGCCTACTTCCCTACCATCATTAAACATCCAGAGAATCACTGGTCTCTCTGGCCAGAGCAACCTTGAACCCACCCCCACCAACCCTACCACTCCAGGCCCTTACACTCTGCCTTAATGGCATTGGCATTTATAGGGGCATAAGGTCGTCGGGCAGCCCTCCTTGGTTGTAATAGGTCCCTGCACATTCGTCTGGCAAGACGGGTCAGCTTCGTGGTCTGAAGCAGAAAGGTTTGCCTGTTCTTAGCCAGTAGCTTGGCCCGGTTGGCACTGGTTGTATAGGGAGAGAGACTTTGGGCTTCAGGTCTAGACAAATGACCTCTTGAGTGTGGCTCCTAGAGGAAGGACATAGGAAAAAGAGCATTGCTCAGCACTGAGGCTCCTTTTCTTCCATTCCCTGCAGAGAACAATTTGTTCCTGTCTATTCTCTCTACTGCTGCCCAGAAACCTGTCTGGGTTCCCAACCAGTATCAAGCAACACCCCATGACCATCGAACCATTGTCATAAAAGGAATTAGGTACTCTGCTGCCCTTTACCTAAAAGCTTGCATCATATACTTAAAACTCTCCCCTGAATGACCCCCACTGGTCCTTACTGTAGTGCCACGAGCAGCCCCCTCAAGCTGGGTTGGAGTCTTCAGTCCCCCATACTTTTTCCAGTAGATCCAACAAGAAGCACAGAGACGGCACTGCATGTTGGGTGGGCCCCAGGCATACCACTGGGCAGACTGTGTGGCTACAGGAGTGTGGAGATGAGGAGGAGAGAGGGAGGAAACAGAAACATGCTAACTGAGCCTCTCAGGTTCTTTAGCCAAAGCAGACCTCCCACCCATCTCCAGCATCTCCATCTCTCTCTGGGACTCACTGTGGCAGCTCTCGCAAGTCAGGCCCTTCTGAAATCCAGCCCCATTCATGCCAGGTTTTGAACCCACAGAAATTATCTGGTTAGGGTTTGGCTTAGTGCTAATAGAGGAGGAGAAAAGAAGCCAGAAACTGGTCAAGAAAATATATCAATTTCTACCGTGTCTCTATAATTTGACCCTGCCTCCCCTGCCCATCCCCAATCACTGAGGAAGGCACAGATTAGAGGAAAAAATGAAAACATGCCAGTCTCCCCTAACCACAACACTTACTAGGTAGGGATGTAGACCTGTTTCAGTTTGCTGTCCGCTTCAGCAGCTTTCAATCTTTTCTGCAGGAAGGAAAAAAGAAAGAGAAGAATCAGAGCATCACAACAGGGAGAAAGTCATCAACTTCAAAGGCAGAGGTGAGCAGATGACCTCTGGTCCAGCCTCCCCAGTCCAGATGATACCTGCTGAATATACCGGTCTGTGGTTTTCCACATGTAATAAAACTGGACTATGCTGGCAAGTGACTTCCAGGGTAGCTAAGGAGAGCAGAAGAAAGAATGATGAGCTGACAACTGACCCCAGGTCCTGATTCCCTCACTTGCCGTCTCTACCACCTCTCCTAGCCTGAGCCACTTACAAAATCCTGGCGAATATCATTGAAATCCTTCCCGTACTTCTCTAGGGCCTCCTCAAATAGCATGGCTTCTGAGGCAGACCATTCTTCCATCTCATCACGACACAGTACTGGGCCTCCCTGAGGCACCAGGGTTGACATGGCCTTAGCCAGGTCATAGCCATTCCTTTGCAAGGTATCCATTGCATGAAACTACAAGAAAGCAGAGAACAATATTGAGGACCTCAGCACAACCCCCCAACACTGCTCTTTAAACACTCCTACTCCTTCAAAGACACCCTCCTCTCCTGTGCCCAGGCTCTTCAGATCTCCACAAAGCTCAGCCTGCCCAACTACCCACCAACTTCTGCTTACCAGGGTAATGTCTCGGGAGGCAGCTGCTGCACTCATGTGCAAGCTTGGCTGCCGAATGGAGCTGCTGCAATCTAGAGCTCTCGCAAAGGTCCCCACAGCTCTAAGAGAAAAAATTAGAAGTCAAGAGGGAAAGAAGGGCGGCGCCTGTGGCTCAAAGGAGTAAGGTGCTGGCCCCACATACCAGAGGTGGTGGGTTCAAACCCAGCCCCGGCCAAAAACTGCAAAAAAACAAAGAAAGAGGGAAAGAAGAAGAAAGCCTAAATGGACTGAGGAACTAAACCAGAGGAGAAAGAAGAAAAACATTCATGCCAAAATAAATAAATAAAATCCACCTCTAAAAATGGGCAGGACTCAGAACTATGTCCATACCAACCCCAGCCCACCTTCCCCATCCACCCACCCCTCACCGAGCCACCACGAGAAACTGATCAATCTGCCGGTCTGTGAGAGGGTTGTCTGGGTCCCACACCTTCATCTCCATCTTCTGTTGGTTCCGATTATCAGATTCTCCTGGGGAATGGAGCAACGGCATCAACATGGAGAGGGCAGGGGAAAATAACTGGTGTCTTATCTATCACTCACAATAGCACTTTCTTCTTCCTCTTCTGCTGGGATTCTGTCTGCTACCTCAGCTCTCAGACTTCTCTTCCCAACTGTGCCCATGTGCCCCTTTCAGGTTCACAACAGAAAGCTTTGTAGACTGCGTACCAGGGCATGCCTTTTCATGGAGACTATGATGTTAAGGTGCCCCTTGGAATAAGATAACCCAGTAACCATATACTCTGTCCTGTCGCTTACCCTCTGCCAGGCGATCTGGGATCTCAGCTTGATATTTGCAACCAACTCTGATCTCCCCCTGATCAGCTAGAAGTGTCTTCTGTACAGGGTCAAACACCAGTGAGTAAAAAAAGCAGTCCTGGAGGTGGGGAGAAAGAAGATAAGCAGGGCAGCAATCCACGGAGGCAGGGAACAGTGGGGTGTATCTGGAGTTCCCTAGACAGGCAACCTGTCAACCCTGTACCTCATCACTATTCTACTTTCCTCTTGCCAACACCCACTCCCTTTCCTCTTCTCCCAACACCTTCTCACCTCCTTTTCCAGGTACTGGCTCAAGATATCTGTCTCATTCAGTAGGGTCACACTGCATTTCCCCCTAGAGGAGACAGGTCAGAAAACCCTGGGTGAGCCGCTCTTTTTGTCCTCACAGCCATCTCTAACACACCACCCACTCCTCTCCATCTTCTACTTAAGTGCACACAGGCCATGCTGGGCCCCACCATCCTGTACCGTATGTGGGTGGCTGGTAAGGATTCAAATTGCCGAGAAAGAAAAAGCTCCCGGTGTTTCAGTTGATGTCGCTGTTGCTCCGACACCCCTGGCTGCTTTGATTCTTCCTCAAACTCCCCTGGGAGATTAGGAAGAAACCAAGTCAGATGCTAATCCAAAAAGACGCAACCTTGGAAACAACTGAAGGAAGGCTTCCTATCTCAGCTGTTTTCTCACATTTCCCCAGCATCTGCCGTCTACGCACTTACTCTACCAGTTTTCTCTCTTAGCCAATGAATGCCCAACTCTCTTAGGAAAGAATCACCAATACTCTTAGGGAAGAATTGCTGAGAGTACAAAGAATGTCTTAGAAATACATCCCAAACCCAGCTGCCAATGCTCAGACACCACTCATAAAGCCCAGACCATGTCCAGGTCAGACTCCGCAAGTCATCACATTTGCCTCTTTTTAGCTAAACCAGCCTGAAGTCCAGGAACCCAGAAAGATGAAAAACTATCACATAAAGTTTGTGTTTACCAGTTCCTCTTTTCAGATTTCAAGAGACTGTTTGCTCTGAAACATCACATGAATCTCTATCCCCCATTTTCTACTTGGGTAGTAATTGTTTGTAGGGCTTTCAAGGACAGCACCTCTCAAGCTAGTGCCAAAGCCTTTCTGCCCAAGGAGCTGCAGTATGCCTCAAAACCTGGTGGAAGGGGTTAACCTGGCTGGGAGCCAACCGAAGTGGGCGGGGGCAAAAAAGCCTCAGGCCCAGGCTCACTGGTGCATTGTTCCCAACCTCAGGGAGAAGGGGTGGGGGAGGGTGCAATAGGCTCCGCCCCCAGTGCTCCGGAAACCCTGTACTAAGGCAAGAGGGACCACACCTCCAACACCCTTTCTGATTGGATAAGGACAAGGTCAGCCCCTGCCAGATGGGGATTGAAACCCCAAAGGGCTAGGGAACTTGGTAAGCTCGGCTCCTCCTTAACCCTTTGTGTCCAAAGCAGCCTGAAAAAAGGAAAATAATTTAGTAAGGAAGAACAAGAGGAAAGGAAAAGAAACCCAAAGCAGGAAGGGAAAAAGCAGGTAAGGAAACTGAAGGGAAAAAAAAACATTTTTAAAGAAGATAATAGCTTAAAGAGAAGGATGATAAAGAAAAAGTAAAAGGGAAAGATAGACCTGGCCTGGTGGCTCACGCCTGTAATTCTAACACTCTGGGAGGCCATGGAGCGGGGGTGGATTGCCTGAACTCACAAGTTTGATACTAGCCTGAGTCAGAACGAGACCTCATCTCTAAAAAATAGCTGCCTGTTGTTGCCGGTGACAACTACAAAAAAAAAAAAAAAAAAAAAAAAAGGACAGGTGCTGTGGCAGGTGCCTGTAATCCCAGCTACTTGGGAGGCTGAGGCAAGAGAATCACTTCAGCCCAGGAGACGGAGGTTGCCATGAACTGTGATGCCACAACGCTCTGCCAAGGGTGACAAAGTGAGACTGTGTCTCAAAAAGAAAGAAAAGTGGAAGATTACAAATGGAGGGGAAAATAAGAGCGGTGAGAAAGAAGTGCAAGAAAACTTTCCTGCCATCTCCTAGCTTCCTATTTTCTCCCTTGAATGTATTCTCACCACATGATTGATTACAAAAGCCACCTGCCTCCCTGTTATGCAGACTCTTATGACAATCTCTTCAACTTCACCTTCAGTCACTATCCACTGTCCAAATGTATCCAAAACTATCCCACTTTAGAGAACCATCCTGTTTCTCTAAAGCTCTTGCTCATCCCCTACGTAAATGCTATTATCATCTCTCTCATACACACATACAAACCATATTCTGCCTTTCCTTATGGTCTCTCCACCTTGCTTCCAAACTCAACATGTAAAAACAGGCCTCCCTCCATAAACCAGGCATTTCCCACCCCAAAACTCACACCCCTGCCTTGGGCCTACTACAAAGAGAAACATCTGCAGGGACATGCCCAGAGCTAAGGTCTTGGGGAGCAGAAGTGGGGGCGAAGACACTCACTAGCATTACTATCAGCCAGGTTGTTGAGGCTACTAGAAATGTCCCTTCGCCGGAAAAGACAGACAACCTTTGCCTCCACATTTCCATTAGCAGTCTGAGGGAAGGAAAAAAGTAGCAGTGAAAATTGGTCATTTGACAGTGGCAATTCACAGAGACTAACAACAATGAATAAGTTTCTAAGGGACGTTCAGTAGAAAAGGTCCAAGTCTTTGAGTAAAGACTTACAGACCTCTAAATCCCTTTCCTTTGTTCACTTGGACAGACAGTAAAGTTCCCACTGAGCTATCCATAGCTTTTCCTAAATACATCAAATGAATGAATGAATATGAATGGGTACTTAGAATAGGGTCTTCTCTTCCACCTGGTTAGAAACCTCTGAAGAAAGAAAGGGGAGGGGTAGGTATTTTGTTCCACTCACCTTGTTGAGCTCCTCAATCCGTCTAACCAGGTAAGGATTGCTGGAGGAGTTCTCAAAATAGACGTAATCTGTGGCGGGTGGGGGAAGAATCGGGAAGATCAGAGAAAATGACAAAGCTACAGCACCAGAGTAGGAGAAAAAAAGTCAGCCTGAGTGGAGGAAAAGGGGATAAGGGTCCAAGCAGGGAGGACGCTGAAATGTGGAAGTGGAGAAACTAAGAGCAAATGAGGACGTCTTATCCGGCCGCAGTTTGTTATAAAATCAAATCTTTCACTCAAAAGTGAGCCTGAAGAAAAGACAAGATGCAGGGGTTCACCCCTGCAGTCTCCACAACTCAGCATTGAGTTGCACCCTAGTCTCTGAGAAGTGAGCAATTGTTCACTCCAGCGCAGGGCCCCCTCCTTCGAGAACTGAGGCGCACAATAACGTCCGAGGGGAGAAAACCTCCGGGCGGCTCCCCGGCAGAGTGGCAAAGCCGCCGCTCCGGCCCCTCGCGCCCCCTCCCTACCCTGTCATCTCCTTCAGAAACCAGTTTCCCAAATCCATTCCCCATCGTGAGGGCCTGCGACGCAGCCCTGAGAGTGTCGTCGGGGCTCCCCGCAGCCTTTCCGGGAGTCTCGGCGCCCGGCCGCGTCGCCGTCCCCGCACCTTCGCTCCCCGTGCTCCCGGTTCCGGTTCCGGTCCGCGCTCCGGTCCACGCCACCCCAGACAAGGTTCCCCGTGCCACCGGGTGCCAAGCCTCTCCTCGCCGGTCCCGACCCCAACCTCTCCTGCCCTGGGCCCAGTACCCCTGTGCCCGGTACTCACCCCCCACCCGGTACATGTTGGCCGCCATGGTCGTTCCCGCCGCTGCCTCCGGCCGCACAAAAGGGTCCGGGAGGCTCGCGGGGACAGGGCTCCGCTCGAGGCAAAGCACCAAGCGCGGGGCTGGCGCTTTGCAAGAGTCTCGATGGGACTCGCGCAACCAGCACCTCCGCTGCCTCAGCCGTCGCGGTTCATCCCGGCCCGCGCTGTTTCCGCCGCTGCTACCGCCTCACGCCCGGGACGCTGAGGCCAGCGCCGGTCCACTCGGCTTCTTCCGGAACGAGCTCGGCTCCTGCGGGACTAGACCCAGGCTCTAGCTGCCCCAGCCTTCGGCGAATCCCCCCAGACGTTAGGCTCTGCCGGCCGCTGGGAAGCCTTGCCGGGCCCGCCTAGGGGTTCGCCTCCTTCCGGAACACCTTCGGCCGATCGGTAGAACAAGGCCCAGTGCTCGGCTCAGGTCGGAGAGCGAGACCCCACAGATCGGCTATTTCCGGAAGAAATTCGGCTTCTTTCGGCCAACCGCGGCCGGGCGCTCGGTTATTTCCGTTGCAGCTCGGCCCTTCCCCCGAGGGCGGGAGAGGAGTTGGGTTTAACTCTGTGCACTCTGAAGCCTTGCGTCTCTGCCTGCAGCCTAGAAAGACTAGCGTGCTTTAGCGCCTCACGGGTTTATTTGCAAGCGACTTTGCTTGTTATTTGCATGAATGGTTTATGCTTCCTTAACCTTTCCGTTCTCTTTTCCTTCATTCCCCACCCCTCTGAGCCCCGGAGGCGCCCAACCGCGCCCGACAAAGCATCGAGAAGCGACTTTGGTTTTGGTTTATTGCCCCTCAGCAGGCAGCGGTAGTCAGGGCCCAGGCTGGGGCTGCCCGGCTCAGCCAGCGGGCCTGCCTATACAGTGTGTGTAGGGGTGCCATTCGTACCCTCCAGGAAAATACGCGAACGGGAATGTCTCGAAGTCTAAGAAAGGGTCTACCCCTGGTCCTGGGAGATCTGGGCGGGGCAGGGCCGCACCACAAGGCCAATCGGTTCAGTCCAGCAGCGATCAGACGTCGAGGGACGAGGCGGGAGACAGGGAAGGGGTTCGAGAGGGCGTGGTGGACGCTAGCCCCGCGCTCCCAGCGCCCAACACTCGCCACTGGAAGATACTGGCGTCCTTGCCGCCCAGGGAGATGAGATGCGAGTCGTCGTGCGTGAACCGGACGCTGGTCACGTGGCTGCCGTGGCCCCCGTACATGCGGCTTGGCGCCTGAACCGAGTGAAGGTCAAGTTGCGGCGGCAGCGCAGCCCCGGGCCGACCCGACCTGCTGTGGGGGCCCCTGGTGGCCTCACCTTGGCGCGAGCGCATGGGTACTGGAAAAGGTGTACTTTGCAGAAGTCGTCAGCCACGGCCACTACGCGCTCATTGTGGGAGCGGCACAGGGAGTTGATGTCGGTTCCATCCGAGCCGTCCGGCCACACGCCTAGCACAGTGGCTGGCCTCAGCCCGGCTTCCTCCCCACCGCCAACCACGAGCCAGAGCTATACGCTTCCTAGCGCTCAAGCAGCCGCGGCCACCCAACGACCACGTTCTGGGCAATCCTTCCTAGTTCCAAGGGCCAAGAGGCCTCCTGGGCTTGATCTGCAGGTTTCTGGACGCCCCCAAGGCAGGACATAAGTCCAGCGTTCCAAGTCCAGACCTGACTCCCTCCCCAACCTATTCCTCAACCCCTCCTGCAGGGTTCTGCATCCCCAAGCCCCTGCTCACCGTAGACGTGGAAGCCCAGCACACAGGTGTAGGTAGCCCATTCCCGGTCTCGGCTCTCATAGCGATTCCTCAGCAACTTGCAGCCTCCCGCCACGTCCCCTGGGGATAGGGAGCCCACCCAGCTCAGCTCTCACCCTGCCCTCAGTCGGGAAGATGCTGGAGAAGGCCAGGTTGGAAAGACTGGCTTGAGTTAGCCAGTGATAGACACTCCCTACACCCTCCTTTGAATCCCACCCCATGTGCTTCCAGAGTTCTCACTGAAGTTCTCCTCCCCAGATAAGTCAAGCTCTCCATACCTGCCCTGAGAAACTTTTCTAAAACAATCTTTTCTTAGTGCATTTTTCAACTCCCTCAAGTTAACAAGACATGAACTCTGTCTTGTTTTTTCGTAATTTTTCCAATCACTCTTTCTTGAGATTTTCCAAATCACAAAATTTCTCATATTTACAATTCCAATTCCATTTTAACTCCATCTCTATCTTCACCTCTATCTGATAGCCCCTCTGCCTGGAGCTTTCCAAGTATTCTTCATCCCTGCCCAACCAGGAGCACCCCTTAAAAATTAAACCCACTCCAGTTACCCTCTCCCCATGTCCAAACCCACTGCCACTCACAGTAAAGAATCTCATAGTCCCCAGAATTGGACATGATGAAGTTCCCATCCTTGGACCAGTCCAGGTGAGTGATGAAGCTAGAGTGACCCTAGGAGCAATGGTCAATAGTTTAAAAATGTTGTGACCACTCCCATCCCCAGGGTTCCCTAGTGTATTAGGCCCCTGTGAGTATACCTGCTGTTACCATGCCCCATCCTCCACCCCATTTCCTCACCACACAGCGGCCAAAGCGGCTAGACTTGGCACCATCACTGGAAATGCTATAGATGTAGATCATGTTGTCATGGGAACCAATGGCCAGGTACAACCCATCTGCAAATACAGTCACTCAGAGAGGGAAGGGCCAGAGACAGATCTAAGTCCAGGGTGGGGTTGGCTCCCACCTGGGCTGTACCGGACCACTGAGAGCTGCTCATTGCCATCGGTGACATCAGACACGATCTCTCTGGTTTCTGTGTCCAAAACCAACCACCTGGAAGGGAGACAGGTGGAGGCAGATAGGGAAGCAAAAAAGCAGGATTACCCTTAGCAAGGCCGCCCAGGGTGGAGGTGGGGGGGGGGGTGTCCAAATCAGAAAACTTCAGAGAGCCCCACAGAAAGCTATGATGCAAAAGAGGCCATCACTGCCTTTTTATGCTAGAAAATGGGGAGAGGCTAAGTGCAGATAAAAGCTGAGTGGCTTCTGATGCTGGCTGAAAAGAGAAAAAGAAACTATAGGCCAGGGGCCAACTACAAGAGCCTCTGGCTTCTACAAACCTGTCACTTCCCTGTGTTTGTCTCTCCTGTGCCCCTCCCATTCCCTCTGCTTCTCTATCCTGGTCTGCCACCTCCTCTACTCCCAGGCTTGGAGGAGAGAACAGTTGTGGGGAAGGGTGAAGACAGTTATACAGGAGAGCAGGGGAGGCACAGGCTGCAGGGGCTTCAGGAGGAAGCACAGAGGAGTGGAAAGGTACAGTCCTTGGCTTCTAAACTGCAGTGGTTACTGCTTGCCCACTTCCCAGGCCTCCCTGGTTTCCCTCCCAGGAATCCAAGCTCCCTCTCACCTCCCAGTGTTCAGTCCTACAGCTACAACTGCCCCACTCGGGTGGAAGTCAGCACAGAGACCAGTCTCCTGTGATGAGAGAGGGAAGAAGAAGATAAATTCAAATTCAAGAAGATAACCTTCCAATGAAGGAACCAGAATGGATGCCTTGTCCCTTTTTTTTCTTTTCTTTTTTTTTTTTTTTTTTTTTTTGAGACAGTCTCACTTTGTTGCCCAGGCTAGAGTGCTGTGGTGTCATCATGACTCACAGCAACCTAAAACTCCTAGGTTCAAGCAATCTTCCTACCTTAGCCTCCCACATAGCTGGGACTTCAGGCGCAATCCTCCCATCTCAATCTCCCAGAGTACTAGGATTATAGGTGTCAGCCACCATGCTGGCTGGCTACCTTATCTTTTTGATAACTCAAAGCTTCCCCAAGGAGATGAAGAAGAGAGGGACAAGGAACCTGGGATGCGGCAGAGAGTCACTGGAGCCTTATCAGGACTAAGAACTGAGGCCTCAGCTGTGCTGAAGATTAACCATTTAGTTGCTGGGCCAAGAGGAGGTCTGAGGGGTCCTGGTGGGGGGCAAGCACAGGCAGTACCCAAGAAGCACTAGAGGCATCAGTTTTTGTGGATCAGAAAAGTTACTATTTGAGCAGCCAGTACAGCCATACTAGTATACACTAGCTGCCTCTGGGTAGCAGAAGGAAAGGGGATATTGAGGAAGGAGTGGTGACCCAGAAGTCATGGTAGGTATGGCAGGGAAGATCAAAGGACACAGGCCTCTACCTTGAGGTCAATGCTCCAGGCCAGTGCATGGCCCTCCCCATCCCATAGGCACAGCTGCCGGTCATGGCCGCAGGTGAGGAAGCGGTTCTGGGAGGGATGTGTGCATAGCCCCCAGAGCTCATCAGTGTGGCCCTGGAATAAAGCATGGCTATCACCCCTGCCCCCTCCAACACCTCTGCCCTCCCTTCTCCCCCAAGCCCTTAGCTACCCAACCTGGATTACAGGGGAGAAGCCCTGGGCCAGATCTCCCCTCAGCAAGGCATTCTTCGTGGTTCCCACCAGCAGCTCAGAGCCAGGCCCTTCAGCAATGGCCCGCACAGCCCCGAAATGTTCAGGGATCTGCAGGGTGGGGGCAGAGTGTCAAGAGCCCACTGACCATTCCTCTTCCTCCTCCCTCCCTTGACCCCAGCCTAGCCCTCACCTCTGCCTCCTGGAGGGCCACCAACCCAGGCCCCCATTGTACCAGCCGGCGGTCCCGCCCACCACCACTCAGCACTGTCCCGTCCCGCCGAAGACACAGGGCGAAGATGGAACCTTCGTGAGCATGGGCCTGCGCCACAATCCCATAGGTCTCTGTTGATAAAGCCCCAGTGGGTCATGTTCTTGGGGTAGGGGAGTAGAGAACAGGGGCAGCCTTGGCTATTACAATACAGTAGTAACTCCCAGCCATTGTGAACCAATGAATGCCATCTTTAGTCCTCATGCTGCCAACACATCTGTTATTCTTCCCATTTCATAGACAGAACATCTGAGGCTTAGGGAAGTGAGGTAACTTCCTAGAGGCCAGGCAACTAGTGGCAAAACTGGGATTTAAACCCAAGATCCAGCAGACTCAAAGCCCCGGCCCTTCCTCCTTTGCCATACTGCCCCCATCTTTCTAGACCAGTGACCCCAGAGAACTATCAACTCTGAAGGCAAAAGGATGGGAAACCCTCTCCTCTGTTCCCACAGACCCTCTCAATTACTAGATCTCCCAGATGTCACACCCAGCCAAATACCTTTAGCTCCGCCCCTGCCTGGGGTCTTGGAATCTGAGGGGCTCCGCCCCCAGGTGAGAATATTTCCCTCTGAGTCCCCGGTGAGAATGTCTCCATCAGGAAGGAACACAAAACAAGGGATAAACTTGGGTTTCTTGTATTTCTAGGGGGGAAGAGAGCAGAGATCAAAAGAAAGGGCAAAGACTAAAGGTCATAGGCTGGAGGGTGCTGGGGGGCATCAGGGTCTACAGTACTCAGCCCAGTCCTTCCTCCTTCACTCTGCCCTCCCATTCGTTCCCACTCATCCACGCCTCACCCCAAAGACACCCTGTTTCCGGGTGAGGGTCCCATTCCCAGGAACCCCTACTCCACCACTCCAGTTCCAGAAGTGGACGTGAGATTTCCCACTGGTGACAATGCAACTGCTGTCACGAGGACTGAAGCCAACCGCCAGGACTGAGTCATTTGTACTCTGAAGGAAAGACACCGGATTCAGCCCATCCAAGCCCTGAGCACCCTCCTCTTACTTGACTCTCCTCAATTTGCATCCTGACAGCAGGCCTGCAGGAGTCCAGAAAC